TTCAAATTCATGGTCTACCTAGTAAAAGTAACCCAACATTTCCTGGAGAAATCTAAGCTTACCAAGTTGGATACAGGTAAAAATCTCTTGAAATAAACTCCCGGAATATGAAGAGAATGCTTCAGACCCTCTCCACCTGTATTAAGAATAAGGACATCAAAAAAGTGCATGACAAAATGGATTAAATATTTGTGCTTGAAATTTACTGAAAACACAGAAAAGGAGAAACACAAAATTGCCTAATAAAGAAGAAAATCTGTTCTTTACAGACCACAGGTATGGACCAATTAAAAAGCAGCATGATTTAGCTTATCAACTGAAGATACAACAAGGAAAAATCGGAGAAAAAAAGAGGTATTGGTACACTACCCTATCCAACTAAAAAAAAAAGGCAAATTACATTGAAAAAATTATGGGACAAAAGCAATGAACAAGCCCATAGAAAGGAAACTTGTTTTTCAAGAAGTCCTTAAGTTTATAATCTTTACATGTAGCATCCCAGTGCAGCTAATTCAAGGGGTAAACAATGCTATCCAACAGATAAATCTTTATCCAATATGCACAGTATGTTTCGTTAAAATTCATCTGCAGGATAGTGATCTATCCCTTGGAAAGCATTATCCCCCCTTGGGACAACTACACTGGCCAGTCCTTGATCTTAAAGAGGCTGCTAGTTCCCTGTCTACTGTGACAAACTGAATTCAGTATTAGTAATTCATTCATAATCATGAAGTACAAACCTCTTATGAGATATTCAGCCAGACTATTCATATCCTGAGATACATCCACACACTGATATTCTCTGAGCGAGTCTCCCCATATCTCATGGGCTGCCCTGGCAAAGTTGAGCAAAAATTTATGAAGGTTGAATCACTGATTGACAAGATGCTGATTGAAAAAAGAACATATATCTCATTTTGCAAAAGCCAAGTTTTAATAATAATTCATCATTTGATTAGCTTGTTTGTTTTTTGAAATAAAGAATTGAGGAGTAAATAAATGAAAATTAATTATCATTGGATCAAAGAGATTTCATTGACAAATGTTTTTTACCATGTTGCTGTTCCAGAGCCAGATCCAAAATCCAGCAGATTCTCTGGTTTAAAGTTGGGCTCACGCCTCCTTAACTATGGGGGATAAACAAAAGAATGTTAAAACTTAATTAAAAGGCAAGGGCAAGTCTAAAATGGCTTTTCTAGAGACCTGAGGACCTTAATTATCATGTACATAATGGCAGTGAAAGGATTCTCAATCAAAAATGAGACATAACATTATTTCAACATATGCTTTCATCAAAAATAGCTTAGCATCATCCGTACTGGTAAAAGAATTGTAAAACAAAGTCTGGCAGAATTGTCTCATGTCACTTTTGACTTACTTCATGGAACACTCTAAGTGTTGCACCATAGCTTGCAGGTAAACGGCTTGCAGCATAAGCAGCAGCTTCTCTTTTGTTATACCTGTCACCAAAGTAAATCAGAGCAACCCTCAGGGACCCATTACTAACAATTTTTGGTGGGAAAATTGCAAATCATTTCAATTTTTTTTAAAGACATTAAAAAAAGCATTCCTTGTACTCTCTAATTTAAATGATTGAATTTGAAGCTGTCTTGATTCTCTCCCTTTTGGATGTTATCTGTATTGTGGACTGGGATGGCACTAAATTTGATAGATGCAAATACTTGAAAACCAGGGGCCCTTTCTCAAAGGTTCTGGTAACTTAACACATCCACATGTTCTGTTGTCATTTAAGCTGGATGTCTCAAAAGTTTTGAAAATTATACTAAAAAACTATCAGCTAAAGAAAGAAAATGAACTGGTTAGGGTGCCATAGCCTGCTCCACCACTCTTTCAAAATTTCATCATCAAAATATGGCTTCCAGCTGATTAACTTACTGGGACTTTCCAGAAACAAGCTCCAGGTTAGTTAAATCAAATAAAACAAAATACCTTATCAGTTTGTATTCACTTCCTCTTGGCCTTTGGATAACTTTTTGCTTTTTAATAATAGCAGGTTTGCTATCACTTGTGTCCATTGTTTCGCTATTTGTGTGGTTATTGTTTTCTTTATCATCATCAATGTCACTGTCACTGTCACCAGTCTCAAGTGGGTCAGATCTTGTTTCTTGGGAAACAAATTCTCCATCATATTCATCATCTTCATCTTCACTTGTATCATCTACATCATCAAGAATTGTATCTTCTTGCTGATTATGTAGCTTCAAAATGTCAGCAGGATTAGCTTGGTTTGCTATATACAATTAGACAAGAAATACAAAAAGTCATAAATCATCTTGATGCATGTGATCAAGACTCTGTGGTCGAGTTATTGTGACCTTAAAAGTGCACATATTTTGACTCAGTACTGCTAAAAATTTATGGCTTTAACCTTTAACTTGTTAATTCTCCCCTCTGGCTGCTACACATTTCCTTGTAAATAAGTTACAAGAATTTAGTGTCAGACCAAGATAACAACTTTGATCTGATAAGTTTTAATATTTTCATGACCTGCCTGCTGGATAATCTTAAGTTATTATAAGGAGAAGTTACTTGTTAATCACTTCTGTGAGTTAAAGGGCTAACAGGCAAAGAACACTCATAATAATGTCCCTCAACAAGTAAAGAACAACCAATTGCACATGCTTTGGATCTAATACGCAACAGCATTTTAGATTATTGTCACTTTGACAAAAAAAGAGGTGCAGTAAATGCAATCATTTGTTAAAAAATGAAAATAACTATGGATTTGGCTGATCAAATTCCCCTCTTTCCATTTTAATATCTGATACTGTATTCAAGACCATACCTGCTAATTTCTCTCTTTGCCGTCTAGATTCCTTATATTTCTGCCAGGTCTGTTCTGTTGGACGACCTCTATTTCTGATGTGCCTTGCAAGTTTTTTACCATCATTTTCCAACACCTTCCTTGGGAATTCTATGAAGTCAAATCATGCCACAAAGTCAGATTCAAACAACACTGGAAGACAATTAACAACTATACTACTAGTCAGTAAAGACTGGCAGTGTGGCAGTTGAAATTTCATAATAAAAAAACAAATAGAGACTCTATATAACCAAGAAGGTGAGAGAAACAATGAGCTAACATTTAGTGTGATGGACTCCAAGCCAAGGGGTCCCATTTGAGACCTGACCAGGTCATTGTGTTGTGTTCTTGAGCAAGACACTAAATCATTTCACTCACAAGATCTCATTAGTAATTCTCCTTACTGACTGTTGTACAATTCTTGTGATTTTAGTTCTGATAATTTGTTACTGGATCAACTTATAATCCCCTAATTGATATTTCTCTTCATTCTCATCACTAATCTGATTGGAATTGTATGGATATTGTAGGCAGAAATTCTGTCTGGTCACTCAAGGGAATTAACCTTTTTACTCCCACAAGTGACCAAGACAGAATTTCTCCTTACAATATCAATACAATATCAAGCAGGCAGGTGATGAGAATAGAGAAGAATATCAATCATGGGATTATTAGTTGATCCAATACCAAATTCTCTGAACTAACATCATAAGAATTGTATGGCAGATAGTAAGGAGAATTACTAATTAGATCTTGGGAGTGAAAGGGTTAAAGGGTTAACTCTTCAAGGGACCCATCTCCACCCAGGAGTGGAAATGAGTACCAACAAACTGTCAAGGAGTCTTAAAAAATGCTTGGAGGAGGTGGCAGGGGCCAGGAGAGGTTGGGGTCAAGTGAACCTGTAATCGACTTGCATCTCATTTAGGGAGAGTATATGTAGCAATACCCAGAGTCACCTTATGCTGAAAAAGCCAAGATAAGTTCTAGCTGAATTAGCCAATTAGCTCAAGTGCACACTTCCTTTTTCATGTCACAAGAGAAACAATTCCCTTACTCTTGAGGTAGCTGTCTAAGTTCTGCTGTAGCTTTTCAGGTAGCTTCAGAGTGTTAAGATAAAATAGACCAGCAGCCTCCTTGTTGCGTTTCTCAAAACCACCGTTAGAACCGTAGCCATGCTTCTCTTCAGTTGAGCTCCACTCTTTTTCTTCATGAAAAGGTCCCTCCTGGTTTGTACTCAAATTAGAACATAGCACCTGTAGATAATTGGCAGAACGGTAAATTTAATATAATGAACCACACTCTCCTGGGCATTTATATATGGAGGGCAATTACTGCCAAAATTAAAATTCAGTGGAATTTTTTTGTTTTAATTCCTCATTTCAGTTCACGCTAAATTTCCGACTAACTGAATAATGTTATGCAAATAAAAAATGTCATTTCTTCTTAACGAGAGCATTCGTTTCTGATTATTGAGTCGAGGACCATCGAAGAGAATTCCAATAACCATTTCTGAAATTATTTATCTCGTTTCCAGTGGTCTAATTAAATCCAGATCGTTCTGCAGTATATCACATTTTCCAAATCCAGAACTAATTCGATATTCATTTTTCACTTTTCTGATTAGGGTACATAATAAAACAAGTGCTCAATCTCTCCTGTCTCAGTTCTCCTTTCCTATGAAAATAATTGGAAAGCTGCCGACATCATAAGCATCCTGAGCTGACAAGATCGAATTGTGGCTGATCATGAAGTTTGGGGCAAATTAGCGAAGGAAATATCAAGAAAACCCTTAAGGCTTTGCGTAATTTGTTTAAACCTACCTTCCCTCGTAAAGTTAGCCGGTAAGTGAAGCGAAACCTGCAAGATCTACACTGTTCTATTGCACGAAAGCAGATACTCGCTCTACTCATGCTGGAAAGTTATCGTGTTTCTCACGTGGGAGAGAAAAAACTGGGACGAGAGAAACATTTCTACTAGGATTCGTTCCCAGGGTCTTTCTTCTTCTTCAAAGAGAAGGGAACAAGGCCGAACCACGAATAAATCCGTGTACCTCCATGAACGTGTAACCAAGAATTCGCCATCAAGGCTTTCACAAGCTTAGACCCCCTCAATCAACATTTTCTCTTACATCTCTTGTTTCCTTTCAATCCAGAAAGATCAAATCATCAATCCACAATGAGGGTTTCTTTTATATATTTTATTCAATGCGTTCTTGACTTGAGCTACCTTTGCAGACAAAGTTACATTTGGTGCGGCTCTTAACTCCAAACACTTTAGTCCACTGTCTAAAAATGCACCAATGCATATTTAATTACACATGACCAGATTAAGTTAGAAAACATCAAGGCTAAACTTAAAGTTTCACTATTCACTCCTCCTCTGCCTCCAAATTGATATTATTGCCAAATTTGGCATAAAGTTTCACTTTAAGATCAGCCAGGAGCTGTTTAACTTCTGCAGTGTTGGATTCCAAGGATTTTATTTCATCCTGTATCTTAGATTTTGCATTCTCCAGATATTCTTGAGTTTCCTCTGATGACAAATGGATAAATATTTCCCCTATTCTATAAGTAACAATTGTTAAGGAACCTTAAAACTTTGAAATGCTGCTTTCTCTCTAATACAGGCAAATGAGAAAACTCAGTCTTGAAGAAAGATTTCGCTTGTTTCCAACAAAGGTGGGAAAACAAAGGTTTGGTGATTTAAGAAAAGAAAGTAACAGAAATGGAGTCTCAATTGCAAGAATAAAAATTACTTAACAGCAAAGTGACAGTCAAACTTATCCTTTTTTTTTTTTTAGGTACGAAAGCTTCTTGTTAATCTTTCTCTTTAGCCTCCAGTAAGACTGACTGTGGAACTGTGGGTACCAGCACAAAAAAACTGGCTCAAATAAACATATACAACTCTTCCTCCAGAAAAAAACAGTCACTTAAATTGCAAAAAAAAAATAAATATGATAGAAATTAGAGAAAGGATATGGAATTGGTGTTGTATCATCATCTAACATCATCAGTTCATCACCTGCATCTTCAAGATTCTGAAGCTCTTTCTGAAGGAAAGAAAAAATTCTCAATGTATTATGTGGATTATGGAGCAAGTGTGACATCAAAACGTTCCAACCCACTACAAAAGGTCAGCAACACAGGGTTGCCATTTAATTCCATGACAGCAACAACTACCACGATTTTCTTCCTTGAGAAGGACAAGTTGCAGGCAAGTTGGTAAGGAAATGTACACAACCTTGCAACCTTAAGAAGCCCCCTATCAGAACACAAGGTTAGCTTACTTCTCCCTGAGAAAAATGGATTGGAAAAAGATTTCTGCAGGGCCCAACACGGTAAAATTTCTGCACAGCCCCATACTACATTATGCATTCAGTTCTTGGATAGAGAAAACAATGAAAAAACCATACATTGCCATTGGGAAAACAGATTTTACCCCCAATAATATTCTAAACCAAAATTTTGTCCAAAATGAAATCTTTTGTTTTAGCCAGAGTTATGAACTGTTTTCTTAACTGTATGCAAAACGAATTATAAAGTTATACGGAAATTTCACCGATTAACAACTGGATGCTGAGTTTTGATAACTGAATTGGAAATAAGCTTACATCCAACTCCCCTAGATAGGCTTTCAACGCTTACACACAAGTACCTATTACATGATTATATATTGGTTTGGGATCATGACTCCTGAGATACGTATTGATAAGTAATTGTCAGAAAGAAAGCTGTAGATTATACAAGCTTAGTATTCGAGAATTCCTGCCTTATTTCAAACCTTTTTTTGTTCAATTTCATCTTTTAGTTCTTGGATTCTGGCACTTTTCCGTGCAAATGTGTTAATCTGCTGTTGATCTTCAAACGTAATGTTCGTGTCCTCTCCACCGATCTACAGGGAAGGAAAATTAAATTCGTTTACATTTTTTTCGGATTAAAGACGAGGATCAGACGTGATGGTAGTACTCAAAGAGAAATTCAACTCTACCTTTCTCTTAGTGTTCGCCATCTTGCAATCTGTACTAGGTAACCTGGCAATTATGCGAAAGAAATTTTGGTTGCCTAGACGCGCGTTGGAATATTTTATCATATAAACGAACTTTGATGAGCCATCTCCAAGACAATCAATTATTAGTTTTGTTTAACTTGATTTTAATTATTTATATTGTATAAGGTTTTAATCTTTCGATCGTTTTCACCTGTTTATTGGCAATTTTCAAATTCCTTGTTTATTCGAAGTCGCTAAGATCTGACTTCCGCACGCGCTAAGGAATCTGCGCTCAATGGACTTTACTTTGTAGAGTAGCTGCGGAATGTTGGACGAAAGAAGTTGAAATTGTCTCTGTGGGAATGGAAAGAAGCCAAACAAGTTATGGGTGAGTTGATCTTGATTTAGCTATGTTCCTTTGAGGTACAAAGCTAAGATGAGATTGAATCAGGGCAACTTCGCTTTGCTTTAGTTGGACTTTATTCTTTACCAATTGAGATTGTGAAATTGTTGTTTTGACACAAAAGATATTGTTATCGGCATGAGATTCCTTTGAAGTCACAACATTTTTACCATGCTTTGATTTAATCGTCAAAACATCACACTCTGTTGAGTTTGAAGTCAATATTTATATCGTCTATGTAGGAGTCATTAATTAAACTTCTAAACACGACCCTTACACGTTCGAATTCGAAAGACATATCTTTTGGAACCATTTGTTGTGAAGCCCAAACTTAGTTCAATGGGTTCTTTATTATGCTGCAGGTGATAAATATAATTTACTTTCTCATTCGAACGTATTGCAATGAGTCCAAGAGCAATCGAACTATTCTAGTACTGACTAGAGTGCAGTTGTCATGGAGATGTACCTTAATTAAGTTTGACCTTATGGGCCTTTCCGCACAAGCGACAAAGTTGTTTATTTAGGAAGAGTTTCAGTCATCACCAAAATTATACAAGCACAAATGGTTTGTCGTGACTTAACGAATTTTGGTCAAAGCAGACAAATCTTCAAATGCACCGTGGACAAAATTTGTCCCATAGAATAAATACCGGTAACCAAAACCATGATAAACTTGTCAATCACTTGTTGTATAAGCTATAACAAGTGTGTAATTGAACTGAAATCAGTTTACTTGGAAGGTAAAAATTGTCTTTTGCTGCAAAACTCAAGGATTCTAGAATTTTAAAATGACTTAGGATAAATCCTGGAAGTTGGAGGTGGAATCCTTTGGCAACTATGTTGGCCATTCTTATGAACAGATCAGGTGCTGACGGAATTTGACACCTTTGAAATTTTTAATGGGCATGCAACAGACGAAACAAAAATTTGTCCTTTGATTTTGTTGGGACAATTCTAGTTTAATTCCCCAATGAGGAAAGGCCCTAAATCCCCAAATGAGATGGACATGTAATTCCTTTACTGAACTTTATAATTTTTGAGGCTACAGTGTAGACAGTGAATTTCTCAGCTTTCAACTCTGCTAGAGACCAAGCAAAGACTCTAGCAGGATTGAAAGCTCAGAAATTTACAGTCTATGGTTATTGCAATGATGTCAAAATCTTAAAAAGTTTGCATGGATAAGAACCTTACACAATGACTTAAGCTACTATTGATGTATGTTATTTCTCCTCATAATTTCAATATATCATCATCATAAGTGATAAGAGTGCAGGACTTCTCATCTGCTTCATAACAACTAACTGACTAGCAAATTCTCCTGTCAAATGAATAAGGAAATTACTTTATGTTACAGATAAATTGGAGAATTACATCTCAGTTGTTGAGTGTTATAGGATTAAATAGTGTGCTACTGGTGCTAACTATCCCACACCTATAGAGCCAATCTTGGTTTCTGCAACCTGCTGCTTCTTAGAGAAACCCCTACAACCCCATCCCCCACCCCTCCCCCTGTGATCTCATCAGGAGTCTTCCCTTCTTCAAGGGTATTAGGATCTGCCTTAGATTCTTCCAAGTGAGAATAAAATGAAATAAAATTATGTTTTCTGAAGTCTTACAACACACGAAAAAAAACTAACAGAGTTGAAATACTATTGTACCAGCTGAATATATGAACTTGCAAGAAAATGTAATGGTTTTCTTAAGCAGGGTTCAAATTCATTTTTAGTTGAAATCTGCAGATCCAAAATTGCTTGTTGCTGGTCAATCCAATATTGATACATATTTCAAAAGACTTTCAGGCTGGAGACCTAGAGAATGAAAACACAACACAACAGCCCTTCTAAGAGGGGGAATCCGAAAATAATCTGGGACCATTTGGCCCAATGATACTGTGAAGTTTTCCCCTCTAAACCCTTGGCAAGAGTTTTGAATATGCTTACTGCTTGCTAATCAGTTATGTTTCTAAAATGGTCTATTTTACATTCTGAATTATTTTTCTCTATATATTCAGATAACCATGGTGTAGCACAGCTCTACAGACGGATCATCTCACCCTCAATTAAGGTACACAATGAAGAGTGGCAAAAACAGACCCATTATCGACATACAAACTACAAAAGCCAGACACCAGTCAGCAGGCTTAAGATGGCAAGTCCTGTGCACAGTGTGGCATCGGCTCCTGGACTCCTAGAAGCCTCTGATCTTGCACTTCAGGTACACTATGCAGTAGAGTAAAGATTGTGGGATTGTAACTAAGAGAGCTATAAACTAATGTAGGGTGTGTGGGCGTGCCCCCTTCTTAATTAAGAAAATGGGATGATTCAGTGCTCAAGCAGCAAATGTTTTGCTCACCATGGGGAGTAGAAAAAATATTAGTGACTAAATGTGCTCTGAAAGTTGCTAATTTGACACTCTGTGTTCAATACCTCCTAATTTGCATAGCTAGTAAGGTGCTTGATTCGCACTGGGCAAGATTTCATCTGCTCACTTGCATCTGCTCTCTGCTCCTCTGTCTTTAAAGTAGAAGTGTTAGCTCCTTAACCCTTTATAAGAGCTGGCCTGTTAAAAAAGTTCTATGGATATTACACGTGTGTCGTTTTACTGTGAGTTCAGAAATACCTTACAATGATATCATGTAGTTTCTGTTGTTTCTGTGTGTTGCTGCTCAAAAATTTGATGCCCCTATGTATTTTTTCCAAGTGAATTTTCAGGGGCTAGGGTGGTGCATGAGTTATACAATTCAAGTAGGCTTTCAGTGATACCTTTAATTTTATTCTGCAGCCTTCGCATGATAATAATTCCACTGAAACTGAAAAGTCTTCAACAAGGAGTGAACATGCAGGATATCAGTTTCAGTAAGTTAACAAAGTAATAAATTTGCTTCCCCAGTTATATTAACTTTTATCTTTACATATTATCATTTTTCACTATTTCAAAACTCATTTGTGGTTTTTAATATTATCAATTATTATAGCTGATATTTAATGTTTTACATGAGTCTTGAAACTGGGTTGAGAACTTACATGCAGATCAAGTTGAGGCTTACTGATAAACTTCTCAAGAAACATTGATTTGTTCTATTAGAGACAGTTTTCTTTTGAGGTATCCTTTGTTTGAATCAACCTTTGTTTTCTGTTATTACAACTCCCTACCAAAATGTCTTTAGTGGTGCAGTATCACTTGGGAAAAATGAGTGGTTCAAACACTCAAGATTTGTCTTAAAGTTTAACATTATTTTCTGGAATCCTTTTCACTCCCAGGCCAACTGTGAAGTTTAAGACTACCTCTCTTCCTGGTATGCCACTGAGTCGCAAATACTCACCCTCTCCCAGTGGAACCACAAAATCAGTTCCTATCTCCTACAGCAATCATATGGTATGTCAGATATTGCAGTCATGATTGTCTGTCAAAGAGTTGTCACCTCAATTGAATTATCTTTAGTTAATATAATTATACATAAACCAAATTCATAGGAGGAAAAGTGCAGTAGAATCTAGGAAGAAGAGCAAATCAGATCTCAGCTGTAAAATAAATTAAGTGACAAAAATCAACTAATGTCAATAATTTTTTTAAAAGATGAAAAAATGTATTATTTCATGAAAATTTAATTTAATTTTTCTTGATTCTCACTCAGGGTTCTGTCCCATCAAGATATTGGGCCAATGAAAAGTATGTCAAGCTGACATTATTTGATGCTTTTTAATTTCTTTACTTTTAACTAATTGATCACAACTTCTTGATTGTTTTCATTATCTTTTCTTCATTGAATGAAAAAAGTTGGTGTTGGTATAGTCGCATTGTCTTTAGTTAACGGGTAATTCATGTGAGACAAGCGAGTTTTAAGAAGATTTCCATTTGATTAACAGTCCAAGAATATTATACAGCAGACAAAGAGACAGATTAAAGGCAGAGGAACAAGCCAGAGAGCACTGCCGCAGATTGAAACGAACATCAGAGGTAACATTCAAAAAGCAGTTTTTTGATTTGGAGAGAGGCAAAATGATATCACCATTTACTGTGTTTTGATGTCTCAAGTTTTTTTTTCTATTTGTGAGAAATTTGGTACTGCAAAGAAAATTTTGAAAACTCCCGGGTGATAACAAATATGCTTTCAAAGTGGTGTTTTCAGGTATTTTCTTCTTGATTATATTAAAAGACAGGGGCTCTGTATTCATCGGACATGAGGGAATTCTCAGGCTACAAAGCAGAATTCAGCCTAAATAATCAAATTTCAGTATTTACTTTGTCATTTATAGATAGCTGCGGAGTACATACTCTTATTATTTGACATTACTTTTCACAAGAAAAAAACCTGGAAAACATAGTCAACTAAAATAGAACATCAATAGTGTATTATTTTCAAGTAAATTTTGAGCATTTGTAATGAACTCTTTCTGTAGATTCGGCACCATAGAGTTGATAAACAGTATTACATGGCTGGAACCAAAATCCCATTGCAAGGAAGGTGAGGAGATCTCCTCAATCCATAGTTTTCTTTGCACCTGTTGTTTGTTCTTGTCATGCCCCACATTGGTGGAAAAAGCAGGTTGCATGATGAGACCAAACAACAGCTGTGAAGGAGACTTCCCTACCCATTATTGGTGAAAATTGCCTGTCT